CAAGTTATTAACCACCCTTAAAGATCATTTTGGATTAGTACTTGACAAGTTGGCATTGTAATGAATGACCCTTATTTGACATAAACTTGGTGTATTAACTAGTGTCATCAAATGTTCTATATTTGGAGGACATATTATGCATCAAGGTGTGCTAATTCATGATGATAGTTTTCAAGCAGTCTAGGTAGAGTCTAGTTCAGTGCTTAGAAGATTCCTTTGTGTGCATATTGCTGGTTTAGCTTGTTGTCATGTGTGTCCAGTTGAGACGATGACAAGACTAGGTTTCAAACATTGACAACATAGTGATTAAATGCCTGGCTCTTCATTCAGTACACTGTCCATGTTTATGGAAGGATTTGACCAACATTGATTCCCATCATAATCATGTTTGAATCTTTTGTTTTGGTTGTTGCTTAATGTTAAGAAGATCATGTTTGGACCTGTTTAATCTCTTTTGATGATATCTTTAGTAATGGATAGATCTAACATTTGGTAACTGGCAACTGTATTTTGCAATGTGCATGCCTTGACCATTTAGATTTTGAAGACCATGCTGAAGCCTGCCATGAGTCCCTTATTGGCATCATCAGGTCTTAAGACTTTATATGATTCTGCCAGCGCACCCTTTTCTGTTTAGAACCTTTTGTCGTGGCATAACAGCCTTGCATTAGCATTTAGTTTTTCTTGCTAACTGTTGTTTTTTGGAGATCCTTGATGTATCTATCTTTGTTTCTGTCTACACTATTTTGTTGTTTCAATTTTTTTCCAACCAAATGATCCTGCTAGATTCATTGCTATGTTCCTATTTTGTTCATGAAAGTTGTTGTTGGAATTATGCTGGCTGTCAATTTTCACTTTAAGTTCGTCAACTTTGGATGTCATCAACTTTGTTCTCAAGTTGTTACAATGTGGTGTGAGATATGCAGTTTATGTTAAATGAATTAGGAGCAATTACTGTCATGGATTTGCTTGAACATTAACTTCATCCTTGGCAACTCACATATTCACTTCCTGGCTTAGAGATCTTTTGAGTGAACCTCTTGTTAGAACTTACTCAATATCACATTTCAAACATGCGTTGACCCCCATCTGTTCTTAAACTCATATGTTTTGATCCTTGAAACTCAAAATGTATCCCAAAGCTTTAAATTCCATTTTCATTCGAATTTTATTGTGTATATATATTTTGAAAATTTGAATGGTACCATCATGTTCCTTTTGAAAAAACAAGTGATTTAGACTTTTATTTCATGAAAATTGGTTGAGTTTTGATTTATTTGGATTGAACTCATTTTTGACACTTTCACTTGCCTTGCCATGTTCTTTTCCCAACCTACATCCTTTACCCTTTATCCTAACCTTAGGATTTGAGTCGCCGTACTCATGTTTAGCGTCCCACCATGGACATTCTCTACCATAACAATCTCAACATAGATTTAGGAGTCGCCGCACTCTATTTAAGTACTTCCCTATGAATGCTTACATCCCCCTAGAATGTTGACCATGGTCAAGAGTTCCTCATCCCTAACCAGGGGAACTACAGTTGCTCTGATTCCATTCCCGTCAGGATACGTAGGCACGAGATGCGATTTCTTGGCGAGCATACTTTAAACTTTGTATATACTTTATATCTTTACCCTTAGAATTTTCCTTTTAGCAAGCAAACTTTAGCAAACACAAATATTAACAAGAGGTTCCAGTAGAGTCCTACACATGTTTAGGATGTGAAATACCTACCCTAGGCATAACCAACCCCCGAACCTTTAGATCTCTCTTTGCTTAGCTTTAGGCCTTGCCTTTTGCTTTGCATTTTTATAGGTTTTTCTTTCTTTAAACCTTTCCTTTTTGGATAAATTAAAGTCTGGTTGTGAATTTAAGAATTAAAGATTCAAGTTAATCAATAGCTTGGTATCATGATTCTCACCGCAACAACTGCTAGCATCCATAGTAGGAAACTCCACCTCAAACTGAGTTTTCTCCGTTATAGTTTCTCCCAGGTTTCTCCCTTGGTTTTTACTATTCTTCTTCTGAAGAAATTATCTACCAACCAAGTAAGTTGTTTTAACCTCAGCTCTTCCCTAAAAAATCAATAACAACTCAGCAGTAACATGTATTTTTATCCCTTGATTTCTGCAAAATTCATTCTACTTCTCTAAAACTTTCTCAAGGCATTCATAACGCCTTAAACTCAAATCTCATAGTTCTTCCTTATCATGAAAGCCTCCACTAGTTAACGATAAATGGATAATAACATTTGAACCTTCTAAAATATATAGGCCACATATTTTAGACCCTTTAGCAATAATCAATTCATCAGCGAAATCTTCAACACTCCACATTCAACTCTAGTACAATAGCCTAGATCATCAAACATACTTATAGATAACAAATTTCTCTTGAGTTCTGGAACATACCTCACATTGTGAATAAGAAGTCTGTGACCATTAAACATTTTAAATCTGACCATACCAATTCCACGAGCCTTGCATGCCTTATTATTACCAAGGCGAACTACTCCATCTTGCATCATCTTCAAAGTTTCAAAGTATTCTATTCTTGGACACATGTGATAAGAGCAACCTGATTCAATGATCCAACTATCTTCAGTTTCCAAACTCGATACTACTAGTGCTTCGGCATCCTCATAACTTTCCTCACCCAATACAACTACAGCTTGAACAAAATCTTCATGGACCTTTCTTTCAGGACAATCCCTTTTAAAGTGACCGATTTTCTGACAACTAAAACATTTTACCTTTAACTTGTCAGACCTCTTTGATTTGGACATCCCTTTACGCTCACCTCCTCCTCTTGACACATTTAAGCCTTTACCACTATCTTCAATCTTCAAATCTTTCGACTTTGAAAATTCTTTGGATTTCACCGCCGTCTGGACTTCATCCAAAGTAATAGTACCTTCCTTACTATAAAGAAGGGCATCCTTAAAGTGCTAAAAGGATTTGACTAATGAACTCAAAAAGAGAAAAGCCTTGTCCTCATCATCAATCTTCACTTCAATATTCTCAAGATTATCAATAATCTTGTGAAATTCTGTGAGTTGCTCAACTATGTATTTGTTCTCCACCACTCGGAATGAATATAGTTGTTGTTTAAGATATAATATGTGAACCAAAGACTTTGTCATATACAATGATTCAAGTTTTGCCCACATAGCAACCGCAGTTTGCTCTCTGGCGACTTCTCTTAGAACTTTATCCCCGAGGCACAAGATAATGGAAATCCGGACCTTATCCACCATCTCGGTCTTCTGTACTTGTGTAAACCCTGTCGGCATCAATGTTTCACTCTTCAAAGTATCGATACACTTCTCTTGAATTAAACTTGCTTGCATCTTAATTTTCCACAATCCGAAGTCGTTTTTACCGGAAAATTTCTCGATCTGCCATCTACTAACCATGGTGCTCACTTGTCAACAATATCTCTTTGCTCCACACTCACCGCACCACTTTTTGTGAATCTTGTTGTGAATTATGACAAAATTCAATATCAATTTGTGAGCCAAAGAATAATAGCAACCAAAATAAATGGTCGTTAGCAATAATAATTCATACACAAATAATATAACAGAATAAGGCAAGAAAAAACCGAAGGTTTGTTTACCCAATTCGATCAAACGATCTACTATGGGGGAGAGAGCAGCTCTCCAATTCACTATACTCAGAAAGTTGTTACAAAGGATTACAGATGAGTTACAAGAAAATAGTCTTCGCCTTCAGGTTCCCAAGAACAACCCTGAAGGCGCCCAAGAACAATCCTATTTTCTACCCAAGTGTTTCCCTACCTCTTCAACTCTCAATATATGAATCACTCAAACCCAAGGTGTAATCCAAAGTTTTCTTTGTGCATAGCTGAAACCCTATGCTATACCTTTAAACCTTTGTTCTCCTTTGTTGGTGAAAACTCTAAGATAGTCACACACCAAACATATAAGAGATACATATTTATAATAGCAAATACTCAACAAACAAAGCCCAAAATCACATGGATCCATGGACCGAATCGAAAAAAGTACAAAAACTCAAAAATACTATTCACCGTATGGATGTCACTATTCATCCGTACGGATAATAATATTTACCGTACGGACGACACTATTCACCGACCCTTTTTTTCCCTCGAATTTTCGTCCGATTTTTGCAGTAAATGCAATCTCCAAAATATATATTTCTTTCTCTTCATAAACAAAGGTTTTAAGGCACATTTACAACAAAATCAATTGTAAGAATTTAAAGTTACATGTTATAATTTAGAATCAATTTTATAATTACAATTAATTTTATTCAACGTTTGTTGGGTTGGTTGAAAATATACATGATTTAAATAGTCTTGTATCGTTTAATTTTGTGAAGGAATGAGAAGTCCAATGATATATATGTGTGTGTGTGTGTGTGTGTGTGTGTGTGTGTGTGTGTGTGTGTGTATATATATATATATATATATATATATATATATATATATATATATATATATATATATATATATATATATATATATATATATATATATATATATATATATATATATATATATATATATATATATATATATATATAGGTGTGTGTGTGTGTGTATATATATATATATATATATATATATATATATATATATATATATATATATATATATATATATATATATATATATATATATATATATATATATATATATATATATATATATATATATATATATATATATATATATATATATATATATATATATATATATATATATATATATATATATATATATATATATATATATATATATATATATATATAATTTAAGTTTTTCTAAGTCTCACATCGCTTAGTCTTGTGAAAGAAGAGAGAAACTTTAGCTAAGAATATTCTCACACAAAAGTATATCAAATTTAATGCTCATCAGCCAAAGAGCTTTGGGAGAAAATTGAAGGGATATATCAAGGAAAAAGTATATCAAATTGGTTGTTGTTGAAGGATCAGTTTCATAGCTTGCGTATGGATGAACATACAAAAGTATTTAATCATCTAAGTATTCTAAATGATATTATTTGTGAATTAGAAACTATTGAAGTCAAGATTGATGATGAAGATAAAACTTTGAGACTCATATGGCCTATTCCATCTTCTTACGAGCATATTAAACTTGTTTTGATATATGAAAAAAACTTGAGTTTTGAAGAAGTTGCTAGTAAAATTAATTCTGATAAGAAGATTGAAGGGTGAGAATAATACTTCATCAAACTCAGCGTTTGTTGTTAGAGCAAGGCCGTACGTGAAGAAAAAAAAATAATGAAACGAGTGTGAGATGTTGAAAATGTGGAAGGACTGGACATATAATGTATAACCGTCATGATGGGACAACGTCAAAAAAGAGTTTTGAGTTAAATGCTAGCAATGCTTCCCTCACTGTGGGGAGTGATGATCTTCTTTGGAAATTGAGAAGTATGTCCTCATGGCCTTTCTGTTGTCATGGAAAATGACGAGTTATTGCTAACGAATTGACACATGAGAATTAATGCAAAGTGTGTTGTGAGATTATGTCGATGGTTGAAAAGCTTCCCATTATAGATGGAAATAGGCCAAGCCGATAATAGGGCCTACGGGCTAGCCTACACAGACTCAGACCAGGCCAATTTTTTTTTTTAAAATAGAAAAGGCCTATACTTTTTTATAATTCTATTTATTTAAAAAGGTTAGGCCTCAGGCCATAAAAAATGTCTTTTAACCCTAACAGGCCGAACTATTTAAATAAATGTGAATAATTTTTTTATTATCATTATGTTATGTTTTGTACTTTGAGTTAAAGTACATAAACAAAAATTGATTATCTTGGAGAAATTATAAAAATAAGATGAAAAAGTCTTATGAATAATGTTATAAGTTGTTTTCATAAGTTATCTTAAACAAATAGTATCACAAAACTTATGCTAATAGGTAAGTTAAAATAAGTCAATGCAAACAAATATTTAGTCTCACTGGTTTTTTAGTTTGTTAGTCTATTTAAATATTATTTTAATTGCTTATTTACATATATCTAAAATAATAGGCTTTTACGTAGGCTAACAGGCTAACCAGACTTTAGAAAATGCCAGACTCAGACCTAAAAATAAGCATATGACAGGCTACATGCCAGACTTAAGCTTCATTTTTTTAGTAGGTCAGGCTTAGGCTTGGCAAAGCCTAGCTCAGCCCATCCTATTTCTACCCCTACTTCCCACTAACATGAAAGTTGCACCATAAAGTTTTAACCTGGTATTCGACATGTGAAATTTTTGAAGTGGTTTACCTTCAAGTGAAGTATACTCTTTTTTAGGTTGAGTATGATAGTTTTTAAACTATGATTGTTGGTGAAGACAATGTGAAAACTCTTGGAGTAGTGTAGTTTCAAGTGACTATACTATTTATGGTGAAGTATGATTGTCAGTGAAGAGGGTGAAAGTTAATGTATTATTTTCAATGAAGGTGGAAATTGTTGGGGTTGGTTGAAAATATACATGTTGAAAAAGTCTCGCATCACTTGGTTTTGTGAAGAAAGGGGAAGTTCAAGGCTTTATATAGGATTCAAGTTCTTCTAAGTACCACATCAATTAGTTTTGTGAAGAAAGAGGAAGTCCAATGCTATATATGATTCAAGTTCTTCATTACAAGATATACCAATAAAAAATACTTTAAGCTTGTATTTGACTTTTTTTTTATATATTTTCTCTTATACTCTTGTTTTAGAGTGTTGTGAGGGGTAGTTGAATATTTGCTTTGGAGAATGTGGGTGTATTTGGGTGGTTGAGGGTAGTCTATGTGTTGAAACAATTTTCACATAATATTAATCTTTGATTATCATTTGACAACAATCGTGGTTTCTTCTCCAGTTCTAAAATTTCCATATTATTGTATTCCTCTTTTTTCTGTATGCTTTGTTTTTTTCCAACACATATAAACACGTGCAAACCAATTCTACATATCTATAATTAATTATAATTCTTTTAAAAAAACTAAGCGTACACAAATTTTGTTGGAGGGGTTAGGAGAGCATAAAAAATATCAAAGGACATAAGTGTCAATGTCTAAGATCTAAGAGACTTCGACACTATATATTCACTAAAAATATTAAAGTAGTGGAAGTATATTTCTCTGATATATATCCATCAAATTTTTAGTCAATGTGAAATTTAATCACTTACTCTTGAATCTCAACAATTTTCCCCACAAGTGTGTGTCATCCCGCATCACCAACCTTTAAGTCATGCTAGAATCTCACTTCCGCTTCTCCAATGATCTTAGTCATGACTCTAGGAGTTCAATGAACGTCGAAATTGACACTTAACTAAACGTCTAAGATTTAAAAGACCTTGACACTATATATTTATAAAAAATCTTAAGATAATAGAAGTATGAGTCATCTCTTTCATATACTCAATATTTCCTCTATTTTTGTCGTAAAATTTAACGACTCTCATTTAAACCTCATATTAGCATCTTATCATTTTCATTTCATTTTGCCACATAACCCTTGGACCACACACAACACGATTAAGCACCCCATCCTAGAGAATGAGAAAGTTGGCAATCATGCTTGAATCCAATCTAACAAGTGTTAAGAAACACAGAACATGAGAGCCACCACGATAACTTCTAACTACATAAAATTCAAATTAAAAAAAAAAAAACTCAGAACTCTATGCTTTTCTTAACCCCTAGTACTTGTCGGCACGTTAGAATAAAACCAAACGACTTTTGTATTGTTCAAACCAAATGTCCAAATTGACAAATTAGATTCGTTAAGGAGACGTGTAATCAAAAGAACCTTACGCCAGCTCAGTTAGCATGCCTGATAGAAACAACTTATAACAAACAAAATATATGATTAAGAGTATATATAAGATGCTTACAATTCTTTAATTAAAAAAATAATAATGTTTAGGAGAGAGCACGACTTAGAAAGAAATATTTATCATAAAGTCTCCGACCACTTTTTATATATGGAGAAATAATGTTTCTAATCAAAAGGTGACCAAATGATTGGCCATGATTGGAACATTCTTTAATATGAGTGATGGGTTTGGGTTAAGAATAATGGAAAAAGTATTTGGCAAATCATAAAAAAAAGTGAAAGAAAAGAACAAAATCAAGGAAGGTTTATGTAGATTATAAACAAGGTAACACAAATACTTTTGTTATAAACTACGATTATTATACTAAATACACTTGTGTTGTGTCACATAGATTTATTACAATTTACAACTACAAAGATACGAGGTTATTTGAGGCACACCTGGTCTGGTCCCATGATCATCCATTTGAGGCAAACATGGTCTGGTTCCAGTGATTACCTGCTTATGACCCACTGACAACCGGTTTGAGTTGTAAAGCTTTTATATTTAGCTAACTGAATATTTTGGATAAGTGCTTATTGGTATCAATGTGGCATCATCATTTTGTTAAAGCTAGATAGTGTATGATTAGTTATGTGATGACAAAAATTGGTTTTGAATATGTATAATTAATTTTAGTTAAAATGAGTTAAAAGTAAAGTAATTAATATTTAGATACATTCATGTAACAATGAGTTGATCAATAAGTTTTAGTTTAAAGTTAATTTTATAATCAAAAGCTCCAAATTCTATTTTAAGTTAGAATAAATTTTGAAAGAAAAGCGAAGATAACAATGTATCCATGTCTATCCAATTTTCATCAGATCATGTTATTCACACGGTTCTATATGATAACAATACCAATTTGCATATATAGTAGAAGATATTAGTTTCTTCAAATTCTTCTATGTTAATTGCTATCGATATAGTCATTACCTTTTAGAAGCTAATAATTCAGTGTGTTTAAGTCGGATTTAATAAGGTTTGGTTCGATTTAATTGAAGTATGTGCAATTAGTATATGTGTCGAATTATGTAAGGAGGAATTCGACAGAGTTAAATATTATATTTAGTGATTTGTGTTTTTTTGTTGTCCATAAATATACATAGTGATGTAATTTAAAATATAGTTTTTTTTATAACAACTTCACTCAATAATTTATTTTTTTTACAATTTAGTTACTCTTTTTTTTCTTTTCTTTTCTTCTTCCTCATCTTTTTTGAAACTTTAGTCGTTCCAACAAATTGGTATCAACGAGTTCAAGTTGCAATTCAAAAATAGTTTGTAACGGCAAACAGTAAAACAATATCAACGCAATTTTCAGCGAATCTATCGGTTTTCAAAGGAGAGAACTACGAATGGTAGGTTGCACAGGTCGTCTTCAATTTTGAAGATGTGGCTAAAATCGTGAATGATAGAGTACCTGCATTGGAGCGAATGCATATGATGTTCAACAATCTGCACATAAAAAATGAAGAAAGAAAGATGGAAAAACTCTTTTCTTGATCCATCAATGTGTGGATCCAATCGTGTTTGAGAAGATCAATGAGTAAGAAACAACAAAAGGAGCATGTTATAAGTTAAAGAACTTGTACGACGGAGATGAAAAGTTGAAGAGGGTGAAGTTGTAGACGCTAGAAAATCAATTTGAGATGAATCAGATGAAGAAAGACTAATCAGTCTCAGAATTCTTCTCAAATGTGGCGTTGTTAACGAATTAGATGAAGGCGTATGGTAAATCAATCACTAATTTACAAAAGATTGAGAAAGTGTTAAGATCTCTGACTGCAAACTTTGATTATATTATTGTGTCTATTGAAGAGTCCAAGAATCTTACTGAAATAAAGGTGGAAGAACTTCAAGCTTCATTGGAGGTTCATGAGATGAGAGTGAAGCAAAGGAACTCAGAAAGGGAGAAAGTGGCTGAACAAACACTACAAAGAAGATTCATCAAGAAATCTGAAAAAGAGAAGGCTAAGCATATAAAGAATCTTGCAAATGATGAGAATTCAAGCAAGAATTTAAAGAATCAATCTGATTCAATTAAGGAAGTCATGGGCAAAAAGTATTCAAGGAAGAAAGTTGACATGAATGAGGTGCAATGTTACAACTATCAAGAACTTGGTTATTATGCTCGAAATCGTTGGGAAAAAAGGAGCCAAGAGCAAAAGATAATGAAGAAGTGAAATATGAACATGCAAGAGGTAGTGTCTCTGATGATATTCTACTCATAGACAATACTCAATCGAGCAATGAATGTGACAAAATGTGGTACTTAGATTCAGGATGCAGTAATCACATAATTGGTAATAAAAACTGGTTCACCAAGTTAGATTAATCAATTAAAAAAGTGAT